GGAGACTCGGCGTGAAAGGTTGGTGCGTTTCCCCCCTGACTTCTTTTTGTCCGTTGCGGAGTGGCGTCTGCAAGTCTGAGCTGCAAAGTTACTGATTTGCAGGCTGCATGTTAAGGCAGCCCATGTAAGTAATTTCTCCGGGCACCCCAGCAAAGGAGAACAAATCGCTGACAAAGGCGAGCGCTTTCGATTCAGCGGCGTCGTTAAGGCAACCCCCAAGTATTCCTCCTATAATAAGTTCCACTTCAAAGGGTTTCTCATTCAGCGGTGACTGCTTCGCACTTTTATTAAGTCCGGGCTTTTTCACTCGGAGGAATCATCTGTTTGGTTATTTTTCATCGTGTTTATTTTTCACCATTCACACAGTACTTGTATTAAATAAACAAAGAACAATCGCTCTGCAAATAAAAGTACTTAGGTGGGGAGAGAAGGAAGAGGAACCAGGGCCCTGGCGCCCCTGCTCCTCTCCCCCTATCCTTCTAACATCACCCTGTCCCCACCCCACTGGGCTTTCTCTCCTCCTTCCTTCATTCTTTCTTTCTCCTTCCTCTCAAGCTAGGAGGTTCTATGGGAGACTCTTAACAAAAAAGTGCGTATGTGTGTGTGTGTGTGTGTGTGTGTGTGTGTGTGTGTGTGTGTGTGTGTGTGTATACATTTCTGATGAGGTGAAAATGGACTGAACTAGTTTGGCATGAAAGTAAAGGTCACCGCAACTGTATCTTAGCAAGTGTCTGGAGTGGCAGTGAACCCTCTGTCTGCGATTCCCCTGGCCCTGCCCATTGCCATAGCAATCCTGACGCTCTGCGTGGATGTACCATAAAAGCAGTAGTTTGAATTTCAAAAAATGTGCCTTTGAACTTCTTCCTGCCTGATTAGGCACTTGCGTTGTGTGTGAACGTGTGTTCAGGAGCGTTTGTGCATGGGCATGGGGGGAGGAGTGTCTGAATTTTGGCTCATGGAGGGGAAGTGTGCTGGGCATCCCAGGGTTGTTTCACCTTGGGTGTCCCTTGGGCATCTCCCCAGACCTGGAAGGTTTCTGTGGCCATGTGTCCTGTTTTGGTACCTTGTGGGTGGATGGGCAAGGGTGAGGGGGTGTGTGAGAGAGGATGAAAGTAGCAAGAGGTGTCTGGATTGTTTCGTTTGCCTTATGATCATCCTTCCTTTCCTCTGCTTAAGGTGATCACTTGAGAAACCAGATTGCCCCCTGGTTCCCTCCTCTGGAGGTGTGTTTCCTTCCCAAACTGGAATTTTAAAATGCTAGTGTTGAGCACCTAAGTCCCATTTCATAGAGAGATAGATGATAGAAGATATATTGATAAAACCACAATGGTCTCCAAAAGCTGCCCTCAAATGAAAGATACCAGTTATGAGACTACAATACAAAGATGTCTGCAGACGGTTGGGCCCCTCTTTTCCTGATCCTAGTGCTGTGGCTCTTGTGTGGCCATCTCCAACTCCTTAAGAGAATATAACTCCCACCCTCAAGCTCTAAGTACTTTAGATTCTAGGAGCATTAGCTTTACCAAAGAGCATCCTGAATGGGAAAAAAATATACACATAAACTCCAAATAATCATGTGTTTGAAGATTCTCCTAGCCTGGAAAACAAAGGTGGATGATTTAAACGGTATTTGCAAGGGCCACGTTTTGCCTAGGGAAGATAAAGTCTTTGATGATAGCCAACTTAGTGTCAATAAGTGGCTTTCTTTGAGACATATTCAGATGGGAACGTCTTGCTTGCCAATTGCCATAGAAATCTTAACACACCATGAAGATTGTCCAAGCGCCAAGCCTTCCGTTCTGGACTAAATTACTTTGAAGTGGCGCAGGACGAGCAGTGGTCAATTTTAACTCTATAGACTGGACAGAGTACACTGGGAGTGGGAGATTGTGCGTTTTAAAGCAGAAAATAAGAAGGGGAAACTTGTTTTATACACTCTATACAAGGTTCTGCTCATTGTCAGATATCTTTTATCTTTTATATTTCCCATGAATGATTCATGTCTTGGTGGCTTTGTGTCACCCTTCTTTTCACGAGAAACTTCATTAGAGAGCTATAAGTTTTCCCATCGATTGGGGCCCTCGTTTATGAGTGATTTTCTCCTTCGTGTGCTGGTTATTGTCATCTGGCTTAAAACAATTCTTTGCAACCTGTTTCACCTTTACTGCATTTAGCAAATCTGACTTTTAAAAGCCACTATAACCTTTCAGAGAAATGCTTATTGACATTACTACCCATTGCTTTGAACTATTTGCCTTTTATCAGTTTTTGCAACTGCAAACAACCACAAAAAGCAAATGTGTAGCCTTGTAAATGTGCATAGCCACATACATTAATTTAAGCCACTTGAATATTTTGTGGCCATTAAAGACTCTAGTTTCTCCTTAACACCTGTCCCAAAATGCTGAGCTTAAATTACTAATAGCCATTCAACTTCCAAAATAAATTATGGAAGAATTGTATTTGGATCCCCTATTACCTGCCATAAAAAGCATTTGATGCCCACTACTCAGTTTCATTCATTCAATACCCATCTCAGCTCCTGACCGATTTTGCTTTCACCTTCTTTGTGTCTGGATGCCTCACTGTCCCTCCCTCTATCTTTTCTTCATTCTTTTTTTTTTTCCTTTTGGAAGCCAGGCACCAAGAAAACACTACCATTCACTTTTCAGCTTTTCACTGATTAGAATTACTCAGGATATTACTAATTTTAACAAATAAATGCAGTAACCCCTAAGGTTCATGCTGTTCTATTGTAACCTGAAAGACTTAGTCTTCATAAGCATCTTGTACTTTCTAGAAAAGACTAAGTCAAACCAAGCTATAAAAATCTTGTGTTGCTTGGGGAAAGGCTAAAAAATCAAGAGATCAAGAGAAGACAACCTCACATTCACCCCATTAGCCACCTGCTCTGTTTGTAAAAGGATGACAGAGATATGCCACTAGGTAAAACATAAGAAATACATAGGAAGAATACCTTTATTAATTGTTACTTCATAATCACTCTTGCTTTCTTTCTATTGGAGGTACACATTTTAAGTTTTTATTTTAGGTGTAGCCGAAACCAATAAATCTGTGGGAAAGAGTTAATCTATGCATGGTAAAGTACATAAAATACATATTCCTTTGTTTCATAATAAATAAACCTGTAGCATAATAAAGAATAGTGCAAACTACCATTAAAAAAGTTGTATAAATAAAACAACTCATTATACATCAGGAATACTTTGTTCTAATAAGTTTACGATACATAAATTATCCCCCCAAAGTTTATACCGTATCTTTTCGATTTGAAAGGGCTTTGAAAGTGAATAATATGAAAATCAAATAAACTTTAAAAATGTAGAATTATTTTATATTCAAGTTTTATGGTCTTTTTCTTTATAAAGGAGGGTCTGCATGTTTCATATTCACCATAACAATTTGAAGACAACATTGAAAGGCTTTCCAAGTGACAGCACCATGCACTGTACTAGTAATATAATATATCTATAAACTATATATAATCTCATCAACACAATGCAAAAAAGACATGCAGGAAGAGTCTTGGTTTTCACATTACGTTGTTCATTCAAGTAAGCTTAAAAATATATTTTTCCATTTTCTTTCCTTTTTAAATAAACCATGGATCATAAATGACAATCTTTCACCAAAATGTATAATATAATTCTTTGGTGTGCTTTGAACTCTTCCAGAAAAAAAAAAGGATGATGTCAGAAAATAAATTAATTCAACTGTACAAATAATAGCGTTCACATACAAGTTATTAACAATGACAAGACTACATCAACCACTCACAGCACACAAAACAAATTTCTACAAACCCTGGGGAGGGGGTGTCTTCAGGGTCTCTGAGGATAAATTAGTGCTCTTTAGTATATTCGTATGATGTTTCTGATGGACTACATTTTGCACAGGAGATGTGTTGTACCAACCGAAAATAAATTGACTAAGAGTTATTGTCCTGGGTCCTTGACCTTTTTTATCTTAGCTTGACAGCTTTGGCAAAGGTCACACATTCATCAGTGTTTGGTGGTAACTATAAACCTTTTAAAATTTTTAATATGTATAGCAACTCCCTCCCCTCTTTTAATGTAAATCATACACTTCACACACTATCATTTCCAAATGCAATCGAGTTTGGTGTGCTCAGTGCTCAGGTGGAAGAAAATGCGCTAGAATGCAGTTCCAGGCATTGAAAAATTGACTTCTTAAAAGGCTGATAACAACAGTATAAATGAGGGGTTGGGCCTGCTTTAAAAACAGCTTTCCAAAAAAACAGGCATGATGCCATCATCATTCCTCCTCAGACTTGACTGTGAATGTTGGCATCCCAAGGAACTTATGATCGAAAACATAATTGCTTTATTACACAAGAAGTTTGGACACAGTTAAGGAGGCAGCATCTGAGATTTCAGATTCAAAAAAAAAAAAAAAAAACCATAGAGGAAAAAGAAAGCACTTAAGTTTCTTCTATTTTATAAAATATCACAGTTTCACAGTTGTGTATTACAGCAGCGTTTTTTCTCTCCACTTCTGCTTGAACAATCACAGTAGCACAATTTATGGAGATATATAAGGTTGCTGCTTCCTTGTTTGTTTTTTTAAGCACACAGTAGGGTACTGAAGAAATAATCCTGTATAAAAATACTGTGTTAAGGTGAGATCAGTAATAAAAGAGCGGAAATTAAAAATTACAAATATTAAACACAAGAGTTTTTACAAATATTTTTGGACACAGGTACAGTCCAGGATCTGTTGGCAATGCAGCAAGTGTGTGGTTTACAATCAAGAGGCCTTGGCAGAATTAGGGCCCAGCAAGGAGGCTCAAAGGCAGCCCACATTATGGTGTCAAAGGCATTCGAGAGGCACTCCGGGAAATGCAGAGGGCCTTGGTGCTATGTTAAGTTCTGACTCAATGCTCTCTTTCTCCTCCTTTAAAAAAAATATATATCTATTGCATTGGCAGTGTGTATCTTGGTTAAGTAATCTCTCCATTCATTTTCCTTGGTACAATTTGCCCCCAGCCCTGTCCCCCTGCAATGTACAAGTCCAGCTTGGTTGTTTTTTGTTTGTTTGTTTTTAAGGAAAAAAAAAAAAAAGCCCAAATATCTTAATTAAATTAATTAAATGTACAAACACCATAGGGTTTCATACTGAATAAATAGGGCTAATTAGACCCGGTGGCAAGTCTGAGTCACGGGTTTGTCTCGGGCTCCACATTGTCTCAGGTTAGGACGTGTTCCAAGGACTCCCACTTATTATTTCACTTATTGTTATGAATAATACATTCTAATGTATCGTCCGCACAACTTCGGGGTTCCCATACATTTCCTCATCTTCAGACTCGGAGGTGGTTCCGTTGCTGGAAGGGGTGTGGAGGTGACTGGGGGCCCCGCTGGCTTGGCACACGTACCACTCATTGAGGTTGGTCACCTGAGGGGAGAGAGTGCTGGAGCGACTCCTGGCTGGGTCCAGCATGGGGGACAAGGGGGCGCCCACTGGAGTCCCCACTGATGAGTAGCCAAGGGGTCCTGGAGAAGGTGGTGGGGACTTGCAGTGAATCTTCATGTGTTTCCTCAGAGAACTCGGGTGAGTGTAGGATTTGTCACAGCCTCGAATCTTGCAATAGTAGGGCTTGTCACTGGTGTGGACATGGGAATGTTTCTTTCGATCACTGCTATTGGCAAACTTCCTGTCGCAGCCATCAAATTCACATTTGAAAGGCTTTTCCCCTGCAACAAAACACAGGAAAGGTTAACAATGGCTTTCCAGAGACCTCTTACTTGAGAGAGATCCTGGAGCAGAACCAGATGCGTATTTCCCATTCTCCCTAATTCAGCCTAATTCTTATTTCTAATTCCTATGTTGCAGGATGCAAACGGGAAGGGATACTTCAAGGATGGGCCTGGAGTCCACTGGTCTGCAGGCTTTGCTTGGACCTGGGCTCCTGAGAGGCTGGCTGTCAGTCCTGCAGTACCAGAGAGGTCAGGGAGAGGTCCCCAGGGCTGGGATAAGGTCCAGGGTGTAACTCTGAAACCCACCTGGGACCTGCAGAGCCCCCACCCACTTCCCTCAGGGTCTAAACACTCAAAAACACAAATAGGAGATCCTCCTGTCAAGATAAATACTGATAGTATGATACTTCCAAAGCCACAGGCAGGGGTAAGAACAGAAGAAAAAGAGAAAAAATATACATATACACTACATTAAAAGTAAACTAGGCATTCGGTAAAATTATAATGACGGCATTTCCTTTCACACGATTGCATTGATGAAAAGGGGCAGCAGGACAGAACGTGGACAGACAAGGGAAGGAGGTAAAACAAAACGATCTTTTTCTCTTTAGAAATAGAGGCACCTGTGAAACACACTCCCACCACGAGATTTTTACAAGGCTAGCTGGGCAGAGAGTAGGCTGTTGGCCTCTGCATTCCACAGCTTTCCTCACAACTCGCAGGGTGATTAAGAGCACAGCGGAACAGAACCTTAACAAACATTATTAAAGACCACAAGCCTCAGCCAGAACCTACCATTACCTTACCCATAAGGAAACGCACTCTAACAGCTTTCTACATTGCTTAATAGTCAAAAAAGACTTAAAAAAAAAAAACAAACCAGGGTTTTTTGGCCTATCACCCCTTTAAACTGGTCTAGCTACCCCACAAACACAAAAACACAACGCCTTTAAACACAAGGCCTCTAGTCCAGGAAATGGAAATGATTAATAAGACACCTAGAGTTATTCAGCCACACCACTACATCTTGGTGTTAAAAAGCAAAAACCAAAAAACTAGCAGGTAACGTTATAAATGAATTTCCCCTCATTTGATACTAACTTGAAGAGTTAGTATCTATTACCTTGATGTATTCGAGTCTATAAACGAACAAGTCATCTTATATTTATTATTGTGTAACATTTTCCTCTTTAAAAAAACAAAGTTGGATTTCTCATTTCAGCAACCACTCTGATGACACACTAGGTATGGCACTTTCCTTTGTTTTGGGTAGCTTATTTTTAAAAAGAAACTACTAAGACTCAGTTTAGTGTAAATAAATTTCTGTGGTGAATTTTCTTATTCCCTCTGTACAGATATTTCAGTGTAGTGAATTACTTAAAAAAATATTTCACCGATGATAACTGCCTCAATGCCAGAGTATGTTAACGAATCTTAAAGTATTCAGATGTCTGGAATATAACTTTTCCTACCTGAAGACACTGTTTAAAAACGAGCAATATTCAAATACACCTCTCTCTATAAAGAGGGAAACAGAATTCACAATGATAATCACAACCTTTAAACCTTTAAATGATCACCTCAACCTTTAAACATTCTCTGTAGATGAGCTGCAACGAAAACAAAGTTAATCCCTTTTTCTCAAAACAAGTGATTTGTCCTGATTTCTGGACTACACTTTAAGTTGGAGATAATACTAAGTTAACATAGCGTCCTTTTAAAAAAATTATAGTCAGTCCTCCAACATGGAGGCTTAAGTGGCTTTGCTTATTCACCCCATGCAAATGTGCCACGTTGTTTTTCAGAATTGTCATGCTTCTGTACAACCGACATATCCCGGATTGTGAATAAATGCTTTGAACGCTGCTAGCTCCTCCGTGGTACATGAGAAAGGGTAACAGTCAGCCCCAGTCAAGGAGGAGACGTCGTGGATAGACAGGTAGAAAATCAGGGGTAAAGGAGATGAGGGAGAAAGAGGAAGGGAAAAAGGCAAGGGAGATGGAGTGGCCTGTTACTCAGGGGGCCTAAGGGGGCTGAGCAAATTCTACCCAACTAGAAAGGCTGAGAAACCCAGTGTTTACATTGGAGATTCTGACAGAGGGTCACGTCAGAATCTAACTATTTGCAGAGTTTTAGAGACACGGTGCCTGCGGGGCAGCCAGGGAAGCTCCGAGTGGATAACTCCAGGTCCCACCACGAGGAGGAAGGTTGGGAACGGATCTGGGGACACGTGGGCCAGGGAATGGGCCTTCGGGAGTGCCCGGGGATTAGTCCCTTTGATCAATCCGTTCCGGGTTCCCGGATAACCCCCAGAAGAGAGCGCGGCGTGGTAGGAAGGGAAGGAAGTCCGGGATGGCCCCTCTCTAGGACACAATGCCCCACGGCTCAGCGGCCCAAGGACCGCCGGAAACACCAGGCGCGGGTTCGGCCGAACGGGAAGCGCCTGCACCCCTCCCGGAGGGACCCCGCACGCTCCACCCGGCGGGGCCCACGCGGCCGTCTGGAGGGGGGCGGGAAACGTAACCATTCTAGCGACGTGGAGCCAGAACGCCAAGCAGCCGCGGGTCACCTCGACGCCCACCCCGGCCGCCCCTGGGCCCGGTCCCGGTCGGCTTCCACGCGGTCTGCTCTTGGCAGCCACACCCCCCCCCCCCACCCCAAGGCTTGGGAAGGCGGGACGACCCGAGGCCGCAAGCACAGATTTGGGGGTTCCCTTTGGGGGCCTGGTTGGGGCACAGGAGCAAGCAGCTGGCTTAGCGGGCCAGAGCCTCCTAGGAAGTTTCCTTCTGGAAAAACCATTAAAGCAGACTGATCCCGATTAACAAAAAACAAAAAAAAAACCGGGGCTCCTGGCAAAACGTGTCCCAGCGGCCATCAGCCGGTGCACAGGGGAGGCCGCGAGGCGTCGGCAGACAGGAGCAAGCCCGGGACTCCAGGCTCCGGCCACCCCGACGCGGACCCCCCAGCCCCAGCCGCTGGCCCAGCGTCGGGGCGCACGCCCAGAGGCTGCCTCCTCGCCGCCGCAGCGCCGATAAATCAGCCGAGTGGTTACGGAATGTAAACTCCGGTTACTAAGTGTCCTCCGAGGGGTAATCTCGTCTGTCCCTATAAATCCCGACTGCGCTCGCGCTCACCAGCGCTTCCGCCCGACGCGCTCGTCCGTTCAAAGGGGACGCACGACCCGCGGCAGTGGTCCCGCCGCTCCAAGCCGCAGCCGCCCCCATCGGGGCTGTGGGACCCCCAGAGGCAGGGCTTGGGTGGGGAGAGGGGGAGGGATGGGAGGGTCCCCACGGCGCCGGGGGCTCCCCCATGTTCCACGGCGGGGTAGGCCCCATCGATCGCGGGAGGCCCGGCGCGCTCCAACTAGAACCTTGTCCAGTAGATCTAGGCCCTGGGACAGTGTGTGTACGACAGGGCGCGTGTCCGCGTGGAAACGGAGTGGGGGCGGGGGTTGTGGAAGGGGAGTGGGTGTGAGGCCACGGGGGTGTCGCAGGAATAGGCTGTGTGCGCGCGCAGGAGGGCGCAGTGTGAGGCTGGGAGCCGCATGCAAGGGACGGTGCCTGTGCCGGGCGTGTAACGGTGGGCGAATGGGAGTGCGTGTGCAAGGG